AATTAAGTTTAAAACAAATCTGTGATGAAATATTGACTACGCATATACAGGTATGTATTTGTGAATAAATAGTAATATTTTGATGAACAGATAATTTCTATCAATATTAGTTAAATTGCTCTCAGTCTGTTTCTGCATTGACTTTGAATGCTTTAAATGTTTGCTTTTTCAATTTTCTTATTCCATTCAAGCTTTATGTTGTTTCTATGTTGTGACTAGACCTGTGCTTATGTTACAATCTTTTATTTATTTATTTATTTATTTATTTATTTATTTATTTTAATGCAGTTGAGTTTAATTAATTGCATTTCAATTTCTGAGAATTACAAATCTGATTGCCTGCTTTTGGGGTGTCTTCTTTCTTTATTAAGCATCTTCCAGAAATCATGCCAACTTTGAGTTGAGTTTGCATCATCAGGGTCATAATCAGCCTTCAGCTGCTGTAACTGCCTCTCACTTCTGCCTCAGACTCCTTTCTCAGTTAAGCTACCAGAGGAAGTTTTGTGAACCCTGAACACAAGATGTTTTTCTCAGTTATTTTCTTAACTAATGGGGCTGTGGTAGTTGGGTGGTCAGTGCAGTGGTCTTGTAATCCTGAGGCTGCAGGTTGAGCCCAGGTTGCATCAAGAAGAGCATCCTGCATAATGATTTCCAAAATGTTCAAACAATTTGTTTACTGTGACATTTCCTGCAGAAGAAAGCAGCTGAAATAAATAAATAAAAAAACTTTATCTTTTCAAGATATTTCCAATTTTTTTCTTTTTTATTGACCAATGTGCAAAAGTTGCAGCTAATAAATCACTAGGTTTTCAAACTTATCAAACCTTTCAGTGGCCATTTTCACTGTAGAGATGGGGGCACTTTCATCTTAAACAAGACCACTGCCCATCACACAGAAAAATGTGGGTAAATAATGACTCAAAACTGCTGCACTGATTGATTTCTAATGCCTTTTTCATTTAGTGAAACAAATAGTCTTAAATTATGCCAAGACAATGTCCCTCAGATGGAAACAGGCACAGGATTCCCTCATTTGGAGGGAGGGGTTCAGAGTTTTCTACAATGTGTCATGCCCAATAAACTAATTGTAAAAAACAGTTAGGGGTGTATCTTTTGTCAGTATTTTGGCAGGTCTTTAATCATCTGTGACCTGTTTGTTTAACTTGCTCACAGTCTTCTTCTTCATCTTCTTCTTTCAGCTTTTCCCTCTTCATGGGTCTCCACAGCGAGTCATCCTTCTCCATCCCACTCTGTCCTCTGCATCCTCTGTCCTCATTCCAACTACCTCCATGTCCTCTCTAACTGCATCCATATATCTCCTCCTTGTCTTTTTCCTGGCAGCTGCATTTCTAACATTCTTCTACCAATATACACACTGTCCCTCCTCTGGATATGTCCAAACCATCTCAGTCTGGTCTCTCTAACTTTTATCGCCCACTTGTTCAACCTGTGCTGTACCTCTGATGATCTCATTCCTAATCGTATCCATCCTTGTCATGCCTGAGAACCTCCACATCTTCATTTTGGCCACTCCCAGTTCTTTCTCCTGTCTTTTTGTCAATGCCACTGTCTCCAGACCATATAACATAGCTGGTCTCACCACTATCTTGTAAACTTTTCCTTGGACATTTGCCCTTTTGTCACAAATCACTCCTGACACTTTTCTCCATCCACTCCATCCTGCCTGGATTCTATTCTTCACCTCTTTACCACATTCCCCATTTTCCTGGACAGTGGACCCCAAGTACTTGAAGTCCTGCACCTTTGTGACCTTTGCTCCTTGTAGCCTCACTGTTCCACCATCCTCCCTCTCATTCACACACATGTACTCTGTTTTACTATAGCTGACTTTCATTCCTCTTCTTTCAAGTACATACCTCCACCTCTCCAAGTTATCTTCCACCTGTTCCCTGTTCTTACCACAGATCAATGTCATCTGCAAACATCATAGTCCACGTGGATTCCTGCCTTGACCTCATCTGTTAGTTGGTCCATCACCAGAGCAAACAAGAAGGGTTGAGAGCTGATCCTTGATCCAATCCCACCTCCACCTTGAAGCTATCTGTCACTCCTACAGTACATTTCACCACTGTCCTGCTGTCCTCATACATGTCCTGTACCAGTCTTCTCTGCCACTCCAGATTTCCTCAGTGAGAATCCAAATTAGAAGCAGTGTTCATTACAGGGTTAAATAGTCTTCCTCTCACCTGTTTCCTCTCCTGACATTAGGCCTTTCAGTGGTTTTAACGCACATTTGAATCAAACCACACAGCTTTTGATATGCCTCTCTTACTCATTCATAAAGATCCTGTTTTTCAGAGCCAGGTCCCGCCCCGGGGCAGGCGACTTACTCTGAGCTAGTCACTGTCTGGAGTATTGTACAGTCCTTCTGCTCTGCTGCAAGAAGTGGGCTAAATGTCAAATGCAGGGAAGAACAATCTCAGCGCTTGTAAAAAATTTTATTCCCACTTGTTCTTATGAACTGCTCACTTGCAGCACAATGTTTCTTCTAAAGATGTCATTGATCAGATGAGTAAAAGCTTGTGGTGATTTTATGTGAAGCTGTCGTATTTGAGGAAAACTGTTCAGTTTTTAACCCCTTACTATTAATCCTTAGAAAATATTTTTTGTACGTTTACCAAAAGTTCTTGAATCCTTTAAACAGTTCTGAGTTTAATTTTCTAAAGCAAGTTTAAAGGCAAACACATAAAAAATATACACACATATCTATATAGGTAATCTGATGATGGTAGAATGATGGACTGAGGCCAAGTCACAGAGCTACGGTAGAGAGCGGAACGGAAAACACCCGTTTCAGTCAAAACTTAGACTTTTTTCCTTGAATGACTGTTGAGGGTCTGTAGGAGGGAAAGGAAGACAGCTGAAGTGCACAATGTAAAGCCACCTTTACAGACCCAGACCAAACCGCTGCAGGTCATTTAAGTGGACGTTGTCTGTTTGAAGAAATGTTTTACTAATTTGGCACTGACTGCACTGAAGCAGTTCACTTTGGAATCTGGATGATTTCCTGGACTCATAAATTTGGTTGAGGTTAATACTGTGGATATGAGTCACCAGAGTTGGTCTCGTTTAAATCCCAGAATCAACATAAAATGAGACTTTTTAAGGAAAGGTTAAATGTGACAACAAAAGAACCGGACTGAGGCAGTCCCGTGTCAGATGTTCTCACAGGTATTAACAACACTTCTGGGAAAATGACTGGGAGATGTTTCACACCTATTAATATATTTTGCATTTGTCTGGTGATGCCAGTCATTTGATTTAAGTAGTTTAGGAAGTAATTAGCTGCCCTTTACTTAACCTATAAACATTTCACATAAAATGCCTCGCTGATGGGCAGTATTCATTTCCCTAAGTAGCAATTTAATATAGTGGGATTCTGTTTGATTAATTCATCCCATTTACTCTTCGTGTCAATGATTTCAGAGAGGAGATTTTTTTTTTGTTTGAAAGCCACTTGCTGTTTCTACAGAGAGCTATTTCCCTCTCACACGATCAAGTTCAAATTTGCGCACGTTGGAACTAATGGCCTCGTCAAGCTTGTAGATATCTTTGGTTATGAATGAGATGTTGGATGTTCAGTTTGCATCTTTGCAACACATTTTGTAGAGTGAATGCGTGCACGAGGTATAGTATGTCAAAGAATAAATCACCTTTTGAAAGGACAATGCATTCATATGGGCGCTCTTTATCCTGACAGACATGTCAAAAAGCTCTTTCTCAGTTTTTAATAATAGAAGAGCGTTTTATCACTATATTCTTTGCCTGGCATTGTCAAACATAATAAAAGGAAATATGAGTTTGTTTTGACCTTCCTTTCATTTTCACTTTCCAAACACTGCAGACTAAATTCCTTTAGAGGCAGAAAGAGGTTTAACAGGTTAGAGCAGCAAACACATCATGTGGCTCTGAGCAATGGGTTTCAGTTGCACTTTTCACTTAAATATATCATAACCACCCGTCGTTACAATAAACTCAGTCGGCTCAACTGCTTTTTACCAGAGTAAATAAAGCATGACCCATGAATTTTGTCTGGGCTCTCACATTACTGCATTATTTCAACTATGGCTAATGACCATGAAGTAGAATAATTTGTTACTTTAGTGTTTCAGATTGTTTGACATGTGGACTCTGACCTCATCTTCTGCACAAGGATTCATGGTGCTGAGTGCAATGATTCTTCTAAAATGCCATGGGCAGCAGTGGCAGAAAATAACGTCATGCTGTAGCTGTCAGGTTTAATGTGCATTCAGGAAAGTAGCAGAATCGCAAGCGCAAAACTAGTAGCTTAACTGTGTTACAATGACTGAGTGTTGAAATTGTGTCCTAGTCAAAGAAGTTTTCTTTTAATGTTTTGATGCTATTCTTCATATTTAACTGTTACAAATCCCCTGCAGTACATTTCGCAGACAAACAATAGACATTATAGGTGAAGATACACGTTCTATAGTTTGTCAAATGGCTATATGATAGAAAGTCTATCAGTTTATAGAACAGAATAAAAATACAGGAGAACTCTTCAGACAAATTTAATCCATAAGGAAAACTCAAAATGCAAAAATGCTCATGTGCATTAAAACATGCTTTGGCACCTGGAGGTGGATAGCGTAAAAAGTAAATAGAGAGTGGTGGCAGGATGTGGAGATCTATACTTACCTGCTTCCTGTGGATGTAAACATGTGTGTCCCTTTGATTCGCAAACATCAAGCAATCCGGAAGTGTTTATATGAACATTTGATGTATATGACTGCAAACTCAGAACATTTGTTTAAAAAAAAAAAAGCATAAAATTATTACTTATGCATTGGGGGGTCCCTTTTTCTGACGTCCTTGAATGTCAAACTGTAGGTTAAGTCTTAGCTGAAAGAAAAGCAGCTGGATCTTTGTGTCTGGGTGGAACCTCCTCGAACACTGTGCTACATTTATTGTCATTACTCTTATTATAATGCCTTCTCTTGTCCGTATGCTTCCTTCCCCAGAGGATGGCAGGCCGACCCAGACGAAACATTGTTCCTCTGAACCTCCTGCCACACATCCACCAGGAGCCTGTCGCCATGCTCTGTGTGAGCCTCCTGCTCCTCCTGATTGGACGGCTCATTTACTTTCAAGGCTGCACAACCAACCAGAATCATTCTCAGGTTTAGCCTTTCCAAAACCCAGCAGATGTAGCATTTTTAAAAAAATCTGTATTAGTTTTTCTTGAAATGTCCGGTAATTCTTTCTTTTTTGGGGATTGGTTCCTTCGAACATTTTACTTTTAGGAAGGACATGGTTGGTTGGATGTTCTTGCACCACTGTTTTTCCCTTAAGGGCTTTTGAGCCTCCATCAATCAACCAAAGAGGCAAACTTTTGCACTCCTTTTTATAAGAGCAGAGGCATTCTTTTCACCTAATATTGCCACTGTAAAAATACGCCTGTGGAAACTCAAATGTGCCTTGTACAGTTTTTTGTTTACTTTAATTTGTCTTCTTTTTAAGGCTTTTTTTAAAGTGTACAGAATTTATACATTTTGTAGGCAATCAACATCTTGGACGCAGGGTTGTTAAAATATATGATCTGCCATACTTTGTGTTTATTTTATGCAGCAGATTATTTCGCTCTGCAGCTGAAGTTGTCTTGCTAGAATCCAGCATGTAACTTAAGTATGGGATGGCATGAGAAGGAACTGGATTTTTATTTTTCGGTGTTAACCAACGTTTTTGTCACACGTTGATCCCAAACTACTGTGCCGTTTGACATTTTCTCAGAACAAAGTATGTCTTCCTGAGCCTACACTGTAAGTGAATTTATAAAACAAAGACAACACCAGCATCTTTAGCCACAAGTGATTAATTTTATAATAATTCTTTGATAACTTTTTAAGACTTCTTAAAACAAACATAACTGTTGCTTGGAAAATTAAAGGTACAGGTGATCCACTGCAATAATACATTCAAACGTCAAGTAGAAAATCAGACGTTATACTGTTCTACAGTATGCTGCTCTGCATGTTTGTAGACTTTTTCTTTTTGCCATTTGCAAAAAAACACAAAAACACAAAAAGCTTCCTTTAGACAAAGATTCAGAACTTCTATTAAAAGCAAAAATGTTCTTGCTGGGACCAGTGGTAGTGAAAATACTGACCACACCAAATGTTTGAAAAGTAAATTAGTCATTTTCTGCATTTTCCCCATTTAAAACATTTACTCCTTTCTCTCCAGCACATATCCAAATTTTTATAGCAACAAGAGCCATCTCTAAAGTCATAAAAAAACTCCACTGTTACTGTTGTTTCCAGCAAAAGATCATTATACAAATCATTAGTAAAATTTGGGGATACAGAAAGGACACACAACATTAATGTCTCTTAAAAAAACACCAGTATGTTTATAGCAACATTTAAACTTAAATCTCAAGTTTTTAATCATCTTTAGAATTATTTTTCTTTATAAATCTCAGTTTTCATCCCCCAGAAATGCAGTTTGTTTATGATATCATGTAAATGCAGCACGAAAAAAGTTGTATTGTAAAATACCGTAATTTCTGGACTATAAGGCGCTACTTTTTCCCACATGATTTGAACACTGGCTTGTACAATGTTGCGGCTAACTTAGTTAGTTGTTTTTTTTTTTTTTTTTACGTGCTAATGAGCTTGATGCCGCCAAACCATTTAGCCTCATCACACCCAGGTGCTCACTTAGCTGTCCAATACATGTCTCTCTTGGGGGTGGGTCCTCGTGACTCATTGAGACTACCTGTATAAATAAAGGTTTTAAAAAATGAAATGACCGAACAGGTCTCAGTGGACCAATGAAACTTGGGGGTGGGGGGTATTGTTTCTCCCCGAGGGCGGAAGAATATGATGAAGAGGACAGCACAAGCTCTTGGGTGCAGTGCGCAGCGTATATATGTCAGTGGTGTGCAGGAGGAAGATGAAGCTTGCGATCAATGACTTCCTGGTAGGCTACTGTAATTTTATTTTTTTTAACTAGCAGTGTTACGGACACTGTTCAGAAAAAGAAACATTTACTGTACATATTTATGTATATTACCGGTATGTATTTCATTAAAGGTTTAAAAAAAATCTTTCTATGTAAATATCGCATGTTACAATGTGGACACCCGCAGGTTATACACAAGTGTGGCCTATATATGTACAAAATGTATTTTCTTTATAAATTTAGTGGGCGTGGCTTATATTCAGGTGTGCTCAGTAGTCTGGAAATTACGGTATCTAGCATTATGGGAGAAGTCATTGTTGTGGAGGTCACGTCATTGAAATAATACGTTATGTGGACGATTCCTGCAAAGGTACTAAGGGTAGATGTGCCAAGCATCTCTTTGTTTAATGGGAGTTCTTTTTTTTCAAAAATATGTACAATAGACTTTTTCTTGTCTTGAAGCATTACAAAGTATTTTCTTTAGCAGTTATAACAAGAGGTTTAATAGTTCTTCAATCAAAAGTTCTTACCAGCCTTTAAGTCTTCACTTTGGACCTTTTGAAGAGTTTTATCAGTTTTTAATCATAAAAGTTGACGTGTAAAAAAAGATTTAGGGGTAAAATGGCAATAATAAAGTGTAAATAGCTTTTTTGTTTCCAATGTTGTACTATTCAAGACAAAATAAAAATGAAACTAATTTTGCACAGGAGCACTTTCCTCCACTGGTTAATGCAAAACTAGAGTCTGAATAAATGTTACTTCACTGCCCAAGTGTAAAAAGTAAAAAGTTTATGATCAAATTCAGCAATGAGAGCCCATCAGTCTTTGACACTAGTTACTAGTGTATTTTATTTGATTGCCTTTGTGCTTGTTTATCTAATAAGCAAATGATCAAACTGTACTGTCTTCCAGTTTCTGGTTTTGCAGCCAGAATGTGAGTAGCGGCGAGTCTTGGCTTGTTGACAACTTTCCGTTTATTACATTGATTCAGATCCAGCCAGATCTACTCGTGCTTGTCAGGTCATTAAACATTCAGCCAGATTTCTCAACAGCAACCAGTCATGACATAAACACAGTCAAAATGTTAAGATGAGGCTTTTCTGGCTCAACCAACCATTAGTTCCATTGTCATGGAAATAGCCAACAGAATTTGTACTGAAGGTTTTCATCACTTCTAAAATGCAGAAAATTTATAATACAACGTTTGTAGGTTTAAAAACATAAACCTTAAACTACAGTTCATCGGAGGTGGAGAAACTATAATGTCAGAGATATGCAGTTGAAAAATTCTGAACTTGTTTTACAGCCTCAAAAGTATTCAGCTTTTTCATTCATAATTTTTCAGACAAAATGTAAAAAAAAAAATAAGTTAGATTTTGATAAAAACATTATGCGTCAGTATTTAATTTGGATTCGCTTTCATTCAGCTCTTCTGCACTGCATCTTAAAGTGGCTGAATTCCCTGTGAAGCTCATCTCATGCACATATTCTGATTTTTACTGTTAGAGAGCAAAATAAAAATCAAGTCCTAAAATCTGACTGGATATATTACTGCTTTTTATTACTCTGGGTTTGATCGCGCTCTCTTTCAAAACTTGCCATTCATAAATTTCTGTTTTCATTTAAGCACATTATCTGACAAAATTCTTTCATTTACAAACTGTGAGTTGTGATGTTGACTTTACTATTTTTCTAACTTTCTCTTTACACATATATAGAAAGTTGCAATGACATATGTTCTTTTATTTTTATTTGACTTCTCTACTCCACTTCGTTCTTCTCGTCCATGACTGCTTGTTGAGATTTGGGTGTGTTCTGTGGCTGATGCTCAGGAAACAGTAACGCAGGCACATCTTGGTACAAACCTTTAACCTTTGATGTCTAAGACATGAGCAATAGGAATCCCTTTAAAACGGGTTGTCTACACAGATATTTTTTACAACACACTGACTGTGTGGTACAAATAAAGCATCAAAATAAATCCAGAAAAAAAAGACACCATTGCCAACGGGAGCTGGACTCATGACATTTGTCAGTTTCAAATAAAACCAGCCTTGTTAGGTTCAAGGTAACTCATAAATGTGTTAATTTGAGCAAACTTATGATTTTGGAAGGTTTTGGAAGAAGAGATTTAAATGGAGATATCGACTTTGATTAGTTGTTTCACTTCTTTTATGAAAAAGGGAAAACCTTCATTGAGTTTTTGTAATCACCTCTTCCTGCACTTCAGACAGTCACAACTTCTGCAACAATAAAGATGCTCTGGATGCAAATGAACCCAAACCAAAGTGATGGCCTCTTGCATTCAGTGTTTGTTTGTGTGGGTCAAATGAAATGATTCAATTTGGAATCTGGATGATCTACTGGATGTAGTATTTTTTATTTATACTTTGCAAAATGAACTGAAATTACTAGAAATAGATTTTTGCTAAAATAATAGTAGCTATGGTGTCTTACGTAAATGGTTTGCAGTCCAGCGATGTTACTAAAAGTGACAAAAATATAACATAAAACTTATTATTCCTGATGTAAATAAAAAAAAAAATGAAACAACTTTAAAATGGCCCATCCTTAACAAATTTGTTGTTAATGAATTGGACGTGTAACAGTAACACCTAACTGCTCCCCTCCCCCCGTCACAGTCAGAATATGACACATAGGGTTAATAACTGGCTTTCAACCACAAAGAAACAGAAAATGCTCATAAAGAAATGCAAAATAACCACAAACACCTAGCAGTTATGTTCATAATGAGTTTATTTTTGACCACGCTGTATCACACTAATTTCTGTTTCTAGTTGTACAGCTTTTCTTCACCCCCTCTCCTGCTGGAGAAGTGTCACCAGAAACTTGTAACTTTCTACATTTGTTACAGTTTTTATGCACAAAGCATGTCTTCCCTTCTGTTGCGCCACATTTTGCTTTCCCTTCGCTGTGACAATGAAAGCGCTGTGAGTGCATGTCAGTTTCTGATATTATGCCATGTGAAACCGACAACCTCGTTCTTGAAGTACTGTATCACGGCTGAAGTGTGAGAGACGAGCAGGGCAGGGAGGAAACCGAAAGATAATTCACTGCTTTCTGAAACTGCTATAGAAACCTTGTCAACTGATGGAATTAGAAAACAGTTGTCACTTTGACTTTTTTATTTTATTTTGTAATGCAAATAAAATGTTAATCCCTGTTGTTTTTATTTTATTGTAATGTGTTTTTTGTGTGTGTG